ACGTTCCCCTCCATCGCCAATCCCCTGCAGTCTCTGCTGCCGTATTCCCCCAGCTCTGGGGATCCCCCTAGGTCCCGGGGTCCCTGTGCACAAATTTGCACACCTCACCTGAAATGACCTCCAGGAGCAGCATGAGCTTGAGGCCATTGCGGAAATCCTCCTCGATGTTCTCGATCTGGGTGCCTGCCTTGCGCAGGTGCGAGTTGCACCAGGCCGTGAAAGTCTGGGGGCGGAGAACAGCGCTCAGACCCTAGCGCTGAGGCCAGGGCTCAGGCTCCTTGGTCGGGGCAGATCTCAGAGCCCAAGGCCCTGGATTCCAGTCTTGGCTCAGTCCCTGACTTGCTGTGTATCTGGGCCAGTCCCTTTCCCTCTCTGAGCTTTAGTTCTCCTGGAAGAGGAGAAATGGGGTCTGGGTCCCATGCAGGTCTCAGTTTGGACGCTGAGCAGTCTCCAACACTGGAGGGGGTGTGGTTAGAAAATCATAAAGCAGACACGCCAAAGCTTGGGGCCCTCTGAGGTACCAGGGCCAATGCAGGATGATACAGCCTTTTTAAAACCTGAAAAATTCGGGGTCAAAGCACATCTAGCTCTGAGGGTTTGGCCCGAGGGACTGTGCACCTGTGTGTTTTTATATGAGCCCCGTCGACCTCTCCGGGCTGTTGTGAACTGGCCTCCAGGTAGACTGTGCGTGCGGAAGAGCTTTGCAGGCTGTGGAGGGTCAGCTGGGCACGCGGGCCCAGCCTGATCTAGTTTGTGGAGGTGACTCTCCTCCCCTGCCCCCCAGAGTCAGGGCATCTGAAAAGCTGGTCTGGGATGGGAAGGCTGGTATGTGGCTGTGTGTCTACTGGGGATGGGGTGACCTGGAGCCTGGCGCACAAGTTTCTACCAAACTACCAAGCTTTCAGGCCTGGATTCTCCTGGATCCATCAGCTATGAAGTCCTTGGTTGAATCCATCTTTGGGCTCCAATCCTCTCTTAGGCTCAGCCTCCCCATCTGTACAGCTAAGGGAACAGACTCCATGTTGTCTCAGGTCTCTCTTCCCCGCCCTGGCAGGATTCTAGAATTAGAGCGCTCCCCTACCACAAAGCCGGTTCTCCTGGACAGTGGCCCTGGAAGTTATTTGGAATTCTTTCCCTCAGCCAGTGTCCCCTCCTCAGAAAGAGCTTTTCAGATGCTCTAGAAGATGGCCTGGGAGATGATGCTTTAAATTCTTGAGGGGCTGTCATTGCTAAGGGAAGGGGGTGAGCTTCCTGTCACTGAAGGTGTTTTGATGGGGCCCCAAGCAAAGGAAGGGCAGTTGATTCTCTGCAGTGCCTTCCAGCCCTGGAGTCTGGGATGCCCTGGAAATGGAGGGGGCAGGGGGCAGGCAGGCCTGGGCGGGGCCTCCATGGAAAAGGAGGAGGCATTCTTTCACTCGACAAACATGATTCTTTTTTTTTTTAATTGTTGTTGTTGTTAATCCTCACCCGAGGATATTTTTCCATTGATTTTTAGGGAAAATAGAAGAGAGAGGGAAAGACAGAGAGAAACACATCGGTTGGTTGCCTCTTGCACCAGCCCTGACCAGGGCCCGGGCTGGGGAGGAGCCTGCAACCAAGGTACATGCCCTTGACCGGAATCAAACCCGGGATCCTTTGGTCTGCAGGTCGACGCTCTATCCACTGAGCTAAATTGGCCAGGTCCAAACATGATTCTTAATGAGATGTGGCCCCTGCCTTAAAGCAATTCACAGTCAGTCAAAGAGTCATGTTGGTCTGAGAAGAGCTGGGAGAGACTGGTGTCCGGGATTCCAGGGGAGTTCCCTAAATCAGGTGGGGACCTCCTGGGGAAGGCTAATATTTGATCAGAGCTGTGATGGAGGAGCAGAAATTATTCAGGCAGCAAAGGGCAGGCAAGGGCATTCTGGGCAGGGGCAGCCACGTGGGCAAGTGCTTGGCAGTAAGAACAGTTGCTAGGTTTGAGGGCTACAGCTATCTGGCCGCTGCCAGAGTGAAGCTGGGGGTGTTGGGCTGTACATAGTGGGAGGCAGGCCGGAGGGGCAGCAGCGGCCAGGTCATGCACGAACTTGGGTGCTAAGCCAGGGAGTTTGAACTTGACCCTGAGAGCAACAGGGAGTCAGGGAAGTTTTCAGGCAGGGGCGGGGGGCGGGGGCAGAACTGTGTTTTTTAAAAACTCATTCTGGTTGCAGAATGGAGACTGAAGACTTGGCAGAGCAGAAGGGAAAAGTGAGGAGGTGGTGACCGGGACCAGGGTGAGAGAAGGGAAGGTGGCAGGACGGACGAGGTGGCTGAGATAGAACATCTGTTCCTGCTGGAGTACACGCTCCCTGGGCTTGTCCCCTGCTGAGTTCCTGGCACCCAAAACAGTGCCTGACACATACTTGGACCTTCTCAAGAAATAATGCGTGGATATTTTTGAATGAGGTTGAATGAAGAGGACTCAGGCATCGGGTGGAAGGAGGTGGGAGTGTTCCAAGATGCAGAAGAGCAGCAGGGATGAGGCAGGGCTAACGCTGAGCGCAGAGATGTTCGTTACATTGTGAGAAACAATGTTGGATGAGAAAGAACAGACCAGAATGTCCAGCATCCCCGTGAAGCTGATTAATTTACAGAGCATCTATACTCCTCAGCCACTGAATGAATGGATGAGGTGGGTGGCTGTACGTTGGATTGAAAAGATATTCCTGATATTTTGTTAAGTGACAAATACATGTATCTTAAGAAGGACACATGGACCTGGATCAGCGAGAGGCCTGGGTGGGTGGGGGTGAGGATAAGAGTTGTTGCATAGCAGATGACAGCTGGAGTCAGGGGCAGGAATGACATCACCGGGAGATTGCTGGACCAGCGGGTCACAGCCTGGCTTGGAGACAGGTGCAAGAGGAGCCTGAGGGAAAGCTTGTCACCTGGGGAAGCTTGTCAGCTGAGCCTCCTGGTCCCTGGAGTCATCTCCCATCACCTAACTCAGTAGAAGTGCTCTGATTCTCAATCCTGGGATTCTCAGATCCTGAAAATGTCACAGAGCACCCCTGTTGCCTGCCCAGTCCTGGAGTGATACTGTTGGCAAATGTTGAGCAGGGTCCAATAACCCCATGGTGTCCTCCCTGTTCCTGGCCTGCCACTCTCTAAGGTTTTTTTCACCCCAGCCTGGACCCACCCCTCTTCTGGGAACCCAGGTGTCCTGCTCCCTCCACTTGGGAAAGTCTGGGAGCGAAAATAGCTCAGGGAGAGGGGGCTTGAGCACCCTACAAGGCTGGGCCAAAGCAGCAGCTGCCCATGTGCCCCTCTCCAGCTCCCACAAGCCGCTGCCTCAGCACAAAGTGTCCATCTGGCCAGAGAGTCAGGTTACTGCGTAAGGGGACCCAGGGCTCCCTCCTCCCCAGTCCTGTGGCCTTCTCAGCAGGGAGGGGTATCCTGAGAAAGAGTGGGAATGCGGCAAGCAAGGGGCAAAGACCCTCAGGTTGGGGGGTGGGGGGGTCCCGTTTTCTGACAGCATATGATTTGGGTCCTATTTCTGCCTCTTTCTAGTCCTCAGTTTCCTCATTTGGCAATTGAAATAGAGTGACTACGGACACCATGCTGGAGAGAATACAGAGGAGAGGGTGGGAAGGGATCTGGGGTGGTTGTCCGCACCCCAACATTCCTAAGTCTCTTTACTAGTTGCCTGGCTGCTAGGGTGGGGCCTGGGAATATCTAACTAGAGAGGTGGGGTAGGTGTGGGGAAAAAGAGACTATTCTTCCAGAAACCCCCACACTTGGATCTCCTGAGCTAAGGCCAACCTGTTTTCACCAGGAGAAGTAGGGCAGTGGACCCAGGGGAATGAATCCTGGGGGGCACACCGGGAAATCTCCTTGTCATCCTAAACCCCTCATGAGGGCTCCCAGCCCTCTCTCTCTTCCAGCCCTGGGGACAGCAGAGGACTGATGGGCAGAGCCTGGGCGAGGGAGTGGCACTCTGACCTGCTGAGATGACAAGCCAAAACTGATCGGTTTTTCGGGCCTCAGTTTTGCCATCAGGAAATGGGCTGGTACTCACTTTCCGCTGCTGCTTCTCCCAGGCCGGGTCCAGCAGCAGGTCGCGATCCCAGTCCTCCTCCTGTTCCATGTACTCGCCGCCGCCGCCGCCCGCGATGGGCCCCTCTCCGGCCCCCAGACCCTCGGGCTGCATAACCATCATCATCTCGCTGGAGCTCCTGGCTTCGCTCTGCTCGGCGCTCTCCAGGACACAGGGGCCGCGTTAAGTAGCGGCGGGCCCAGCCCCGGATCGGATTCGCGCTAAATATGGGGGCGGGGGGAGGGGCCGAATGGGGGCGAGGGCGCTGGGGTCCGGACCGGGCCAGAAGGTGCATGGGGCCTGGGGACTGCAGAATTTGGGGGCATTGGCTCGGATCCCGTGACGGAGATCCGGGGTTCGCGTTCCAGCTCTGCCGCTAGGGCGCTGTGTGAGCTTGGGAAAGCCACGGGCCCTCTCAGTTTCCTCGTGCACAACGGAGATGACAATAATAATAGTGGCTGCAGACCGCTGAAGACGCTGCGCTTCGGGCCTCCTCCTGACCCTCTTCCTGCGCGGCGCTGGTGGGAGACCGGGAGCCCTATCCCCATTTCACAGTCAGGAACACCGAGGCGCAGAGATGTTTTGAACGTTTCCTGGGGTGATTAAGGGAGAGACTCGAGCACGGGGCGGGGCTCCAGGCCAGCTGGATGGGACGATGCAGGGCTATTAATATCGGGGTGGCTGGGGGGTCATGGGGAATGTGCTGAGCCGGGAAACCCCGACGCCACCAAGGCTGCAACTCAATCCTGCAGGCACCCTGGAGAGCCAGCCCAGCGAGCCGGGCTTCAGCGGGCGGCGCGGGTCCTCCGTGGGTGGGCGGTGCTAACGCCGTTGCCCCGCCCCAGTTCCAGCGCCAACGGGATTCCAAGCATCTCCTTGGCTCACTTAGCCGTCCAATCACATCTTCGCATCCGCTGGCGACTCCACGTGACTCTAAACTCACAGCCACGCCCCTCAGAGCTTCCATTGGTTGGGGTAGACTTCCGTCTGACACTATCCCCGCCCCAATACGGAAGCGGCGGGGTACTCGGGACCCTACAGCGGGTGGGTCCAGGCCATGGGGCAGCCCAGGGCGGTGGGGAGCGCGGACGGGCCGCCCACGCGGCTGCCCCTCGTGCTCACCGCGCTGTGGGCGACGGCGGTGGGTCTGGAGCTGGCCTACGTGCTTGTGCTGGGTCCTGGGCCGCCCCCGCTGGGACCCCTGGCCCGGGCCTTCCAGCTGGCGCTGGCCGCCTTCCAGCTGCTTAACCTGCTGGGCAACGTGGGGCTCTTCCTGTGTTCGGATCCAAGCATCCGGGGCGTGATGCTGGCCGGCCACGGTCTAGGCCAGGGCTGGGCGTGAGTGGGGCACGGGATTCGGCGGTGTAGCGGGAGCCTTGGACAGGGGGAGGGGCCTTGGGACCTGAAGATGTTAGAACCAGATTCGATAGGATCCGCTTGTTAGAACCAGAGAACTCATTTAGAACCTGGATGGGAGAGCTAGGAGTATTACTTATTCACTTACAAATTTTACTGAGCACCTACTATGTGCCAGGTAAACTATAGGCATAATAAATAAATTATATAGAATGTTAGATGGTGGTATGGAAACAAAATGTAGAGCAGGGTAGAAGGGATGCAAGTTGCAGTTTTAAATAGGGTGGACAAGGTAGGCCTCATTAAGAAGGTGGCATTTAAGCAAAGACTTGAAGAAGGTGGGGGAGTTAGCCATTTGGGAATCTGGGGGAAGAGTGTTCCAGGCAGAGGGAACAGACAACATAAAGGCTCTGAGGTAGTTATGTGCTTAGCATGTTCCAGGAACAGCAAGAAGACCAGTGTGGCCAACATGGAGTGAGAGAAGAGGAGGAGAGAGGTTAGACATGTAAAGACCTAGTAGGACATTGAAGGCTTTGCTTTTTATTAGAAGTGAGATGGAGAGCTGTTGCAGGGTTGTTGTTTTATAAGATTTATTTTTAATCCTCACCCGATGGTGTGTGTGTGTGTGTGTGTGTGTGTG